CGAGAATCATACCACTAGACCACTAGGCCGCTAACCTAGTCTCATCACAAACACATGTTGCGCATACCCCGACAACCACATCACATGAAGCGCATGCCACTAACGCACGCAATACGCTTTTGCCCACCTATGCTGCGCTTGTTCCTTGAATTGATGGGCTCTAACTCTCCCTACAGCACAAGTTACGCACAATTATTATGTATCAATTTATAGAGGTGAATGCACACACCATTCACGATCAGACATCCGTGAACATCTAAAAACGGTGTGTAGTATGCAAACACAAATGAGATATATCTAGCCAAGAATTTTGAACAGAAAGGTGCGATGGTAGGGAGTCACTAGCTGGATGTCGGTGGAAGAGGAGAGGGTGGCAAAGTCGCAGTGTAGCGAAAAGACGAGGACGACAAGTACAGCACCAGCACCACGCCATGTCACGTCGAGTCGTGTTGCTGAGCAAAATTCCCCCAGTGCCAGCCGCGACCGAGTAGACCGGTGATACGCGCCGAACGCCGCCTTGCCCCGATAGGACATTTAAATACACTTAAGTTTCCTCTTCCATGTTTGTCGGAGTACTCCTTTTGTTTATCTTGAGCCGCTGTCATGGCATCGCGAGCCCTGCTAACATCGCCCAGCTTGGTATCCATAAAGGATTCCACCTGTTTCCGCAGCGAAACTGGCCTCACATCCGAGACCTGGGAGGAAAGGGCTTTCCGAGCCTCTCCCCCACTTAGAATAGAGGAGTCAGTGTCTCCTCGAAGAGTGAGAGGCACTCTGGGGTGACGGAAGCCGTTTCAAGTAGAACGGCGTGAACCCTGTGGACGCGTGCACCGCGTTCTTGAGCGCGAACTCAACAACTGGAAGCTGCGTTGACCACGTACGTGGCGCTGCCGCGCACACACTGCGCAGAGTGTCCTCGAGCACTCGATTGACGCGCTCTGTTTGGCCGTCTGTCTGCGGATGATCCGCAGTGGACATCTGCAGACGAGTTCCCAGTAAAGGGAACAGCGTTTTCCAAAACGCAGCAGTGAACCGCGGGTCTCGGTCCGAGACAATCGTCTCCGGGAGACCGTGATAGCGGAACACGCCATCGACGAACAACCTTGCGGTTTGTTCGCCCGTCACAGTGACGGGAACTGGAGCAAGATGTACCATCTTGCTCAGCCGACACACGAACACCAAAATTCCGGTGTTGCCGTGTTCGTCGGCGGGAAGCCCAAAGATGAAGTCAAGACTCATCGACTTCCAACAATCAGCAGGCTCTGTAGTGGAGCCGAAGAGTGCCCTGCGGGTTTAACCCGCTGACATGTTTCACATGTCTTGACGTACCGGGCGACCCACTTGTACATGTGGTTCCACCAGAAGGACTGAGAGACCGACAGAAAGGTCTTCTCGCGGCCCAAGTGGCCGCTGGAGGGCGCGTCATGCGCCTCCGCGAGGATGTCGAACTTCAGATCCTCGTCGTTGGGTACAACCACCCGTGGAGGATCAGTGGGCTCTACCCGATAATAGAGGAGGCCCTCCTTCAACTCATATCGGTGGAGCCGTGAGCGCTGTCGCGACGAGAGCCAGTCGGACTTCGCGCTCGTTCCGGCCTTAAGGGAACTTGACGATAGGGCGCGACAGCCTCATCGTCCCGATACGCCATGCGTATCCGATCATATAGATTCGTTGTTCACCCCCCCT